CTGAGTGCAGAAAGCCCAGGATGGAATTGACCACAGGCTGATCACCAACCTAGATACATAGTGAGAGGGAAAAATAATTGCAAGGATATGGTTGCCTAATCACCTCCCAGCAACCTTCCCACATACTCAAAAAAGTATTCCTCGAAGGAACAAGTAGAGACTACTTCATTCTGAGAGTTATTTCCCAGGGCACCCCCACTGTAAAACAATTCCACCTTCATTCCTTCTCCTCTTTTCTTCCCTTGCAGATGGTTCATCACACGGAAATTCTCTGAGCCTCTCAGCTGGAGCCATTGTTGGCATCGTGATTGGAGCCCTGGCTTGCGTCACTTTGATTTAGCAGCCCTGGTGTATTTTCTGTATTTCAGGAAGACTGGTGGGTATGATGGCCTTTCCTCTGTTAGGTTTTCTCCAAGGCTAACTGCCATGCTCAGGAGAGGGAAAGAAGTTCTTCACCTATCTCTGAGCCTAGAGATCCTCCTCCCCATAAACTCCTGTTTCTCAGCACTAATTCCTGCAGGTCTCTTCTTCCCTGGTCTTCATGCTCCTTGTACCCCACCATCTCCTGGACATGGCTATTCCAATCCCCATATAGTCTAGAGGAACAGACCCAACTATGTTCCTCTGTTCCCCAGTCAGGGAAGCCAAAGTCCAAGAAGGAAAACAAATGAGAAAATGAAAGAAGCAGCAGGAGAAAGCAAGTCATGTGCTCCATTGACCACAGTAGCAGGATGAGGGAGAAACAGGACAGGAAGAGAACCTAAGAGAAAGCACAAACAACCAAAGTCCTTTCAGACAATACAAAGAAAAAAAAACAAAAATCAAGAATCCACTCCTGGAAAACAAAATGGGAAAGCTCTTAGGGTAGAAGTAAGCACAGAAGCAGTCAATGGAGAATGGACCTAAATATGAACATCCAGCAACCAGGAAGAGTAAACCCTAGAAGGGATCGTGGTTAGATTGAAGAGGCTCTAACAGGAAAGGCAGCACCAACCATGGTTTGAATGAACATCAAGGAGCCCCAAGAAATTACCTGCTAACAGTGTCCTTCCTAACTCAGGGAGCAAAGATCCTGTGCTTGGGAATAGCAGTCCCAGTGTCTGATGTTTATTTAGGGCAAGAGATCAGCATGATCTCACAGAGCACAAATCCTCAGCCTCCAACCACAGTAAGTAAAGCCACTCACTTAGTGAGAACTGTTATGTTCCACCACGTGCCCTGCCCTGGCAGGGAATCCTAGATTCCCAAATCTCCCTCCCTGTGATTTTTTTTTTCTTTTGAGACAGAGTCTCACTCTGTCACCCAGGCTGCAGTGCAGTGGCATCACCACAGCTCACAGCAACCTCAAACTCCTGGGCTCAAGCGATCCTCGTGCCTCAGCCTCCCAAGTAGTTAGGGCTACAGGTGTGCGCCACCATGCCCAGCCTCCTTCTGAATTTTGACAGAGGGGATCTCCATTTCCCAATCTTGAGCTGGCACAGGTCCTCACCTTTCCTAGCCACAGGAGTCCCCTGAGACACAGCTGTGCCAAAGAGGGTCCCTCCACCTAGGCCAGGCAGGCCTGAGCAAGATCCCATGTTCCCAGGAGCCATTTCCTCATCCTTACTGCTCCCGCTCCTGCCTCTATTACGGATGTGGGTGTTCTCTTTGGTGAGACTTTCCTTGTCTTTTGGGTGCTCTGGGTGCTGTGCGCCTCAATGCTCCTCCTTGCCACTGCAGCATGTTGCTGAGAAACACAGCTGGGCAAAAAGCAAGGCCTCCTGAACTGGTAGAAATCTTCAGAAGTAGGTAGCGGCCTCCTGTGGCTCCACCCCCGCCCTCCTCTAATACTGCTGCGCCGAGTCTGCCACAGACTCTGAGGGGAGCGAATTCCTTCACTGACGATGGGCCACCTCCCCACACCCAGCCACCACCACTGCCACCGCCCGCCACCTCCTTCAGCTAGAAATCACCAGGCCTTAAGTCAGCTTCGCATTTCCACGGATTGGTAACTCCTCTTTTGCTTCCCCAGGTCAGGACCACTTTGACAACTCACCTGACAAGGTAAGCACGGCCACTTTCCCTGGCTCATTTTCTCATGGAAATGACTCTGTACAGAATTGGCTATTCCTGAAGACATAAATGGGAGACAAATTTGGGCTAGAGTTCTTCAGTGCAGCAACAAAGAAGTATTGCTAAATCACGCACCTGAGTCTACCTCACGGCAAGAATGTGCACCTTGGAATCATCCCCCATCCTGTGTTGAATACTGGCTGTGACTCTTAGTAGCTCTGTGACTCTAGCCAAGTAACTTAACCTCTTTGACCCTCAGCTTCGCCATCTGTAAAATGGGCATTCTGCCTGCTTCAAAGAGAAGCTGAAGGGATTAAACAAGTTACCATGTGTAGAGCACCCGGCACCACGGTCAGAATAAGGAAGACGCTAAGTCATTCTCCCTCCTCTACCTTCGACCTGACCCTGCTCTTACTGTCAAAAGGATAATTTCCATTCTAATGGATCTGAGATCCTGCTTCCTTCATTTTATGATAATTTTACAGAATTTTTCTCATTTTAATCTTCCAATAGAGCACACAAATATACTGAAAAGTGCTAGCTCATAATTATACTTTCCCGATGTATGAACTTTCAC